TTCTTTTTTAATAAATTTGCAAAAATTTCTACATTTCTGTTTTTTTCTGTCAAGATGGGGTGCTGAGTGTACATTAATGAGAAATAAAATTAACTTTTTTGATTTTAGGAAATGGCTGCAATGAAACAAAGAGTGAAAAATTTAAAGGGGTCTGAATACTTTCCGTACCCACTGTATGTATATGTGTGTGTATGTATATGTATATGTGTGTGTATGTATGTGTATATATGTATGAGTGTTTGATCTGCTCAGTAGTAAGACGGATCATCTGCTCTCTCCTTGTTCGTCAGGTGACGGTGGTATCCGTGGCTTCCCCGACTTCCAACGCCTCTCAGAAGTCGATGGCGCTGCCCGTCAATGTAGCACTCGGCCAGCAGATCCTCGCAGTCCAGCAGTCCACATCTGGATCTCCAGTCAAGCTGACCACCGGCCAAACCATGACACAGGTAAGATCAGAGCCGCTTGCTGTGTATTGTCGGCTGGAGCGCCAGTCCGGTCCGCTCTGGATTTGAAACAGATGACAGTGAAGTGCAGTTAATCGTTTGTCAAAATAACTGCAGAAAAATGTAACTATTTATTGGCTTATAGTTTTGGCTCTACTTGTAGGTTTGCACTGTATATAATGTAGCGTGCCACACTATGGCTAATGCAGTTAGGGATACAGATTGCAAATGAAAGCATAATCAAAAGAGTCACAAGAAAAGTAATCGGTTTGTTTGTTCATTGAAATTGCCTCAGTGCTGTGATAAGAATGTACCTTTGCACCTGTTTACAGAGCATAACTTATATTATGTACAATCTAACATCTCCAAAGTTATTCTTTTGTTTCAGACTTGCGTTAAAAATGGATGTAGTTTCTCTCGTCCTTAATTAATCATGAAAGACCGTGTGGAACGTTTAGTTGTACAGGACTTGGATCACTTGTAGTGGCTTCTATTAAAGGACTTTGACATGTTAAGATTTAACTTGAAGTTTCGGTCATTCTGATTTAAAGCTCTGTCAAACATTTTCAGAATATTAAATCGGTGCAGTCTGTGACTCTGGGAGGAGTCGGCGGCTCCCAGTACAAGGCCATCATCCCGCTGGCCACCCAGTCGAATGTGCAGCAGATTCAGGTCCCGGGTAGCAGGTTCCACTACGTCCGCCTCGTCACTACAACCACAGCGAGCAGCTCGGGACATCCCAGCGGTCCCAGTACCAGCTCCATACAGACTGGTGAGCTTTTGATGGTTTTATTCTGGTAGCAATAGATGAATAGTCGTGGAAGCTCGTCTGCTGCAACTTAACGCGTCTTAATGTTCCACAGCGAAACCCATGGTGGTCAGTACAGGAGCAGTCAGGATGTCTGTCCCCATCATCCCAGCACAGACCGTCAAACAGGTAACGTAGCTTTACTATGTTCTACATGACTCGCACAAGAGTAGATTTCACCGCACACACAAAGTGTCTCAATGCAGGAATCAGGAAATCATAGATTCTTATGGTTTTTAAACCATGACTTGTATAACGGCAGTTATGACCAAATCGGTTAATCCCGACATCCCTAATAGCGATCTTAATATATTTCCTGTAGATGGTGCCGAAGCCCTTAACATCAGCCACGGTGGTCACCACCACTCAGACCCAGCAACGCCTCATCATGCCTGCAACCCCACTACCGCAGATCCAGCCCAACTTCACCAACCTCCCTCCAGGCACCGTTCTGGCTCCGGCTCCGGGAGGAGGGAACATGGGCTACGCAGTCGTGCCAGCACAATACGTCACTCAGGTAAGTAAGGGATGCCCCCCCCGGGTCTAAACGGGAAGAGATTCTAAAGTAGTAAGGTCCGGAGTTAACGGCTCTGCTATCGGTACTTTATTAGTTCCGGAGTGAGATGTCACGGCTCAGTACAGCGTGAGACTCTCATCATGATCAGAGAGAAGAACACATTGTAGAACTCTGGTCGTCTCAAACACAATAAAACCCTCACAAGTGAGTTCATCACAACATGTGACCAACAAGCAGAACATCCGTCTGTTTGTGGAGCAGCCGTCAGGTAACGGTAGCGATGTCATACGCTCGTGATGTCATACGTTAGTGATGTCATACGGAGTCTGATCACAAGAACAGGATCATCACTGAAAGAATGACTGAGGTTATTGATTAGATGAGAATGTGTTTTAAAGATTTCTGAACTTCTCGTATTGCTGCTCAAGAAAGACTATTTGTTTACATAGAAGAAGAATAAAGAAATGTTGATTATTTTCTTAATTATTTGTTGTTTTTTCTCACAAAATAATCAAAAAGAACCGATAAGAGTATCGATAAGGAACCGAAACCGATAAGCAGTATTGATAAGAGTACTAGTATCGATAGAATCCTAACGACACACGTCCCGACACGTTAGTGGTGTGTTTGTGTGTTTTCTTAATTCACTGCTCTTTGATATTCCTTCTGTTATCTTTCTCGTCTGTAGCTCCAGCAGACGCCATTCGTGACCCTCGCCAGCAGCTCTGGTTTCCCCCAGTCCACTGGTATCCAGACTCAGGCCAGACTGCCACTCAATGGGTAATGAAGGCAGTTTATTATTTAGTATTTTTTATTATTTCATGGGGGACAGACCAACTTAACCATTTGTCTTCAAAACGGTTTACTTTAATATACGAAAAGAGCTAAAGAGCTAAAATCTTGCCTTTTTTCTCGTAATGCAAATAATGAAAGGACCTTTAACTGGTTATAGAACATAGGTATGACCCACACAAGTAAAAGAGAAGATTGGCTGCTCTTAACGCCCGTCATCGGGTCCGATTCCCCGTGACGTCAGACGAAACAATTTATGGCTGAAAGGACAGAAGGTCTGACCTTCTGACTGTCTGATGCTCGTGTAGTGACGACCCTGCTGCAGTGAAACGAGAGTTATTCTAAAGGGAGTCTGGCAGCTGCTGATCTTTACGAAACGAGGCGGTGCTGCTCGTGGAAACACTACCGCCTTTGTCCACAGGGGTCGCCAAAATCAACACAAATGAAAATGAAAGCTCCTTGACGTTTCCTTTATGATGTATCTGGTTTGGATACCGCCCCCCCCCCCCTGTCAATTTAACGCTCACTCTGACATCACACTTAAAATACAAGATTGTACCATTTAAAAATGAAAATTGAGGACTTTTCTGAACTTTACTAATTGATTTGTTGAACATGCTTTGATTTAATTTTAATCTAAGATATATGTTTATTGGCTCACAGCTTGTCAACAGCAGAAACGACCTCAAGACCGAGGAAACCGTGCAACTGCACCAAGTCACAGTGTCTCAAACTGTAAGTATGACTGATTTCGACCCGTTTACTGTTGACTTTATGCTGTTTTTACATGTATTATTATTATTGTGTCAGTGAGGAGCAGTGAGATGGGAGCTGCTAACTCCCTCTCTTGTGTCTTTCTTCCCGTAGATACTGTGACTGCTTTGCAAACGGAGAGTTCTGCAATAACTGTAACTGCAATAACTGCTTCAATAACCTGGAACACGAAACGGAGCGTCTCAAAGCGATAAAGGTGAGGTCGCAGGTCTGTGAGACATGTTGTCGGAGCTGCTTTCTCTCACTCGGATGAGTCTTAAGTTTGGAAATGTATTTTCTCAGACGTGCCTGGACCGAAACCCAGAGGCCTTCAAACCCAAAATTGGTAAAGGCAAAGAGGGAGAGTCCGACCGCCGACACAGCAAAGGCTGCAACTGCAAACGATCGGGCTGCCTGAAGAACTACTGCGAGTGTTACGAGGTGGGTTCTCCCTCTCACTGCATCGCTGTTAGCAGGAGACGTTTTTTACCGTTATTTACATTTGTGTATTTCCTCCGAAGGCGAAGATCATGTGCTCGTCCATCTGCAAGTGCATCGGCTGTAAGAACTTCGAGGAGAGCCCGGAGAGGAAGACCCTCATGCACTTGGCCGACGCAGCAGAAGTGAGGGTGCTGCAGCAGACTGCAGCCAAGACCAAGCTGTCGTCACAGATCTCAGACCTGCTCATGAGGACGACGCCCGTTATCTCAAGCGGAGGCGGGAAGTACGTCACGCTTTTCTCTACAACGACAATAAGTTACAGGAGCACTTGAGGACTACTCATTTGCATTATTATAAGGATGATACATTTAAGTTAGTTTGATGGAATGCAGAGTTTAGTTAAGTCTGGAAGTGTGACTTTAAAGAGAACCAAACAACACTCTTTGTAGAATGTGTTATCTTATACGTCACAGAATCTTAATCTTAAGTGTTATCAGCCAGCATGTCCGCCCTCCTCATGTTCTTTAAAGATCCCTCACAAATGAATCCAACAAATCACGGGCTGCTTGTTGATCCGTTGTTTACAATTCTGAGTTTGGTTTCCTGGACCTTTCTGATTCCCACCACCACGCATATGTGGTCCTTCAACAGTGAAGTCTTGGACTGAGGGGCCCCTCAAGTGACACCAACATCAGCTTGTCCGTCGTCTCTACTCGATTCTGCTCAGACATCTGAATCTCCTCTCACGTACAGATGAGACGTTTTGACGTTTGCTGTCCTATTTATTTTATGTTGACTTTCACAAAGTGTGAGGATTTTACAAAGAAGGTTAACTCTGTTTTTAGACGCTTCAGAAACAGTATTTCTTTAAAAGAAAGATCTACATATGAGTAAAGGTTTTGCCGCCAAATGAAGCGGCAAAACTTGACTTCTTTCTTTGTATAAAGGCGATAAAATAGGCCATGAATATGAGTTTACAATTTGTCCTCGACCTGGTGGCTTTTTGCCGGTTACACTCGTCTTCTTCACGTTTCATTTTGTTTTGACGCTCTCTCCCGTTTTTCACGTTGACCATAAACCACTTTGTTCGTGCTCGTAGCTCGGTGCCCCTCAGGAGAATAAACAGAGCTTTACTGGCGAGCCCTAATAAGCTGATAACATGAAGGATGGTGTGTTTCCTAACGTAAGGCTCTGTTCCCGTTGTTGCCCCGCAGGTTGCCGTACACGTTTGTAACGAAGGAGGTGCTGGAGGCGACGTGCGAGTGTCTGCTGGAGCAGGCCAAAAAGGCCGAACAGACTCACCAGCCTCAGGTGGAGGCGGAGAGGATGATCCTGGAGGAGTTCGGACACTGTCTCATGAGGATAATCAGCTCCGCGGGGAAAGCCAAAGCCGACTGCGCCTCCATCAACTGCTAGGCCAGGCGCTCTGGCGATCTCCACCCTCTAACTCTCTGTCTCCGGACCCCTGGGGTCTCTGTCCTGCAGGGAAACGGCTCGTCCCTCTCCTCAAAAAGGCGGAACAATGGCCTGAAAGTAGTTTCCCCGGCCTCGGGACAAGCCGAGGCCGGCTGGAATAATAAACATGGAGCAGATGTTTGCTAACTGAAGGACAAACGGACAGAGCTCATCGCCTCTGATGGACCTTCATCGCTGTTCTCCGACTTCATCGTCTGGCTGTGATGGACAGAAACGAGCGAGCAAGGTAGCGCTGAACAGGGATTCCTCTTCACTTTATTTCCCCACAGGGCTCTTTTTAAATCTGTTTGTGTTCTTCCATTTTATTCTATTTTCTTTTATTCCCCCCCCCCCTTGTCATTTTTATGTAATCATTTGTGCTTAAATTAGACAAACATGATCTTTTGATATTTATTTTGACACGTTACAATGTGTGGCTTATAGTGCTGGAAACTGTTTGTTATTAACCGAGGCTAGGCTAAATTTCTTTCAATGAAAATGAGTAGAAATGCACACAATGCATTATTCACACACAGCACTGCTCACTGTAGTTGGCACAAGGCTGGATCGGCCGAGGTACTTGTTTCTTCTGGTGCTGCTTTCAGTCACATGCTTGCTGTACATTAAAGACACAATGAATGGGAAACACAAAGATGGCCGGTCTGACTTGTTGGCTGGTGTTCCTGACTGGAGGTGAAGCAGCTTAATGTGTCACAGAGCAGATCACAGATGTCACGGGGGCACAAAGGAGGAGCAAACTGATGACTTTCATTCTGACATTTCACAGCAGGAAAAGCACAGCAGGGATTAGTATTTATTTTACGTGTTCGAAGGTCTTGGTGTTGGGTTTGCTGGCTCACTGGTGTAACTTAAAGGCGCCGCTATACAACAACAGAACATCCTTGTAATCTGACGTTCACACGGCGTGGAGGTGACGAGGGAGCAACTATTTCTGTCACTTTTCATGTCAAATTCATAAGCACATGAGCACCGTTATTCTCCAGATGTTAAACCATGTTGTGTCTGCGCTCTCTGTGGCTGCCGGCTTTTCACTCCAGTGTCACCGTTCACAACAACTAAAAACATTGTAAAAGGAAATCTTACTGGAAAACTAAAAGCCCCAAAAACCTATTTTATCACTTAGCTTTCTTACTACGGGTAACGGGTCCTACATGAACTGTTTTGGTTATTTCAAATGACACATTAATTCGTTTTTTGTCTTTGTTCTTCTCACAAGTTTTTTAAGTGGGTGAGTTTTGGATTGTTAAACTCTTAAATGGTGAAGTTTGGAATAAAACAAACATGCACTTTGTTGCTTGTTAAGTAGTGAAGATTACATTTTTAATACTCAAGCACTCTGAAACGTGACTTGATTTCTTCCGTGTTTCTCTCCAACATTAAATATTTCTGACCACAAAAGCAACAAATTGACTAGTTTACAGTTAAAGATATTTTAGTTGATCAACTGATAAGCAATTCACTGCTTTGTCATTTTTCCTGCAGAAGTTAAAGCTTCTCAGATTTGCTGATGTGCTGCTTTTGTAGTCTGAAGTATCTTTGGGCTTTTACTTAAATATAACAAGCGAGTCAGTTACGTCATTCTAGGATTTATGAATTATAGCATCATCTTTCACTATCTCACTTCAAACCAGTGAGGAGAGAAGCTCAGACACAACACGGACACAAATGCAAAAGATGGTGATTTCATGTAGAACTGTTCCTCGTAAGAAGCTGATTGAGGATATAAGTGTTCAGGATTTTTAATATTTACAACTTTAAACAGAACTGAGTCATTGTTAATGTTCTTTGTATCTGTGCTTTTACTTCTGTGAAGCTTCAGAGTAGCTGCTGTGGAACATGTCTGTACAGAGTCACTGAAAGTCTCATGCATCTTGTTGGGAACCATTGTGACTCTAAAACGTCCGAAAGTATGCAAAACATGACCGAGACAGAAGTGCATTCTGGGTAGGACGATATGATTTGTCTTTCTGTCTGCAAATGTCACATGAGGGTTTGTTTGCTCCGTTTGTGCCCGAGACAAACTCATTGAACTCTAATTAAATTTTACAGGAATATGTAAAATAATGATGATATAAAAGGCACAACTACCCCATTAAGTCTGTTTTTTGGTAATTATGTAATGTTCAGCCACGTAGTTCAGTTCGTTTACACAAATTTAATTTATATTGACTGCTCCTGATAGTACTTCAAGTGATATGAACCAACCATGCCAGCTCTTCAGCCAGACGTTCACGAGCGGCGGCTGAAATGTTTCCCATCCTGACGTTTGAACAGTAATTAAACTATATCATTGTTTTAAGCTGAAACTGTCTGTTTGCCTTAATTTAATGTCGTTTATTCATTTATTTAACAATGAAATAAGAAGTGAAGAAGCTAGCTGGTGGTTAGCATGTAGCAGCTGGTTTTAGCGCTATATATAGATATAGATCTATATCTATCTATAGATCTATCTCTCTCTCTCGATATATATCTAGATATATATCTATCTAGATATATATCTAGATATATATCTATCGAGAGATATATCGAGCGAGAGAGAGACCCCCAACCAGTAGGTGGCGGTAATGCACTTAGGGAGCCAAAACTTCCATTAAACCAGAAGAAGAAGTTGGAGAATGCTCCTTCTGGCGGGGAGCAGTAGCAGTCGGAGGTCCTCTGCTAGTTTGTTAGCGAAAGGAACATTTATATTCCGCTTACATGTGTAAATGTTTTTTTTGCATTGTTAATCATTTCACTCGAGTTGTTTTCTCTTCTCTTCTGAGCTCGACTTTTTTTAACGAGTGTTCGCTCAGTGACGTCAACTGAAATTGTATCTCTGCACGGGGGGGGGGGGTCCCTGTTTGTATATTAGGTAAGTAAATAACTTTATAAATCTGTTATTACTGTTATTGGTGATGAAGTGGTGTACAAGGGCACAATTAGCCCGCTTAACACACCGCCGCCAGAGCACATGGTCTGGAAAAAAGGCGGCGTTTTCCAGAGAGATGCGTCACACCAAACTAATTAAAAATGTGGGTTTAGTGTGAAATTGCTTAATGAACAAGATTCATAAGTCGATGCAATAAAACTCAAACATATTCTGAAGCTAAAGCATCAACTCTTTAATTCCGCATACATCCTCTCATCCCAATGCTTGTGTTTTTGTATATACAATAACTGTACACTTAAAATATATTTTTTATTGTTTACAATGTTTTGACAGATCAGCTGGAGAACAGGGGTTCCAGTGATGCAGTGTGGACCTCACATGCACATGTATGTACTGCAGTTGTGTTATTATACAGAGAAGTGAGAAGCCATCCCAATGATTATATCAATCACTACCCATCTGACCCATTCATATGTCTGGGCAAGATTACTAATTAACTTCTAAATGAGGGTTTGGGCATTAATTTACCATCTGAAGCTGGTGCTGCTGCTGTGTGACTTTTAACTTTAACGTTATCTAACATCTGCTTTGTTCTTTCAGGGTCCACCTGCTGGAGTGAAAGTGAGATCTTCACACTATATCTACCAAAAGCACTGGACTGGTTTCTTTTTTTATTTGAAGCTATTCATTACCCAATAAATACATACTGTGAAGTGAAGTTGATGTGTGTGTGTTTTTTTGGGGATGCTGAGGTTAACCAGGCTTTTTAAACGTTTTGTACATTGATCCACAGATGTTCCCTGTTTTGTATTACAGGTGTATTATTGACTCCATTAAACAAGTGTAGATGATTCTCATATATTGTGTAATTTAATCCTCATTTAACTCTGAACATTATCAGAATTCAGTGGCAATAGTGGAAAATAACTAACATTTACTCAAATACTGTCAATGTTGAGGTATTTTACTTGCATATCTCCATTTGAAGCTAATTTATACTCTATTACATTTCAGAGGTAAATATTGTACTCTGTGTTTTTCTATATTTTTTTCCTGCAAGATGAGTACTTTAACTTTTATAACTTTTCAGTACATTCTGTAATACTCACATACTTTTACTGAATTACACATTTTAATGAGTTGTTTTACGCTGTTGTAGTTTTATTTTTAACCGTTTTCATTCAAGTTAAATCTTCTACATAAATTTAGTGGTTTTATGATATTCAACACAATAAGCATGATATTAAGAACCATAAAAGAAAGTGTTTCAAACGACTACACAATTAATAAAATAATGCATGGAGTTATTTCTAGTTGTAAAGCATGACATCATAAATATGTCATGTATGAAATAAAATATAAACATCAAATTTTATTTTAAATACTTTTAAATGTAAAATGTTAAGCATGTACTTTCAGCTTCTCTGGAATATGATAATATAATTTAGATTTATTATTATAGGATAGTTAGCATGCTAGCAAAGGTAGCAGTGGGAAACTATAGCTAGCATGGAAGCAGGGGTAGCGGTATAACTATAGCTAACTAGCATTGTTAGCATGCTAGCGAGGCTAGCAGTTTAGACCATAGTCTGTAATATGACTTTGCTATTAATTTGTTATATTAGTTATAACTACTATATTGTTATAGTTATTATATTAAAGGCTATTATATTCGGTCTATGGTGTATATATTGTAAAACTATAGCTAGCATGCTAGCAGAGGTAGCAGCGCGCGGACGTTCCCCCGGAAGCTGTTGTTCTTCTTCGTGGCAGGAGGAGATTGTTTGTTAGTGCCACGTTGATGGAGACCAGTGGGGACGTGGAGATCTGTCTGTAGCCGGGACCCGGTAGCCTCCTTCTTGTTTTTTGTACAAACGCTAAACACAAAGCAGAACCGAAAAGGGAACCTGTACGAGTGGAGGAGTGTTTGTCACTTATTGTATGTGTGTGCATGTAAGAGGGAGCCAAGAAGGAAAGGTAAGCCGCTTTAGTGAAGTAATAAGATCTGTGTGTTTAACTGTGTTCTCACTGTTAGATATTGTGCAGGCAGCTAGCAGACTAGAATGTAGGATATGCTGTTCCATGTCCTGGTAAAGCATTTACAATAAGTGACAATAAACTGTTTCTGCACATTTACCTACTGACACTCCTCGATGCCATTGCTGTGTGGCTTTAAATGGGTTTATCAGCTGTTAGCTGGCCGCTAGCTTGTAATGTACTTTTTTGTTTTCCTAATGTTAACCTTTGAATGGAACAAGTACGCCGACTGGTTCCTCACTAGATAACGCATTTGTAATGTCATTGCTGCAACACAGCTCTACTGTGCAGTGGACAAGTGACAATTAGTGTCAAGTCAAAGTAGGCCTCTTGTCTGTTTATGTGAATGCTGTATTTATTACAGTAGCGGGGCTGAATGGTGGCAATGCACAACACAAAGCTGGGAATAAGGCCTGAAGTACTTGTTTGTGAACCTGTCACATGCAGGTCACACATGCATTTATAGTTTCCAATTTATATCAATAAGGATAGACTAAATAACAGAAACACCTCTCTGTTTAATGCATTGCTAACATCCTCCAAAATGTGCATTTAAAAACACCTCTTTAAAACAGTTTAATTGAACATTATGACCTTTATGAATGGAGGATTTATAGCAGGACTGTTGTACATATGTGTACATGCACATAAGTACGTTGAAAGTTAGTTACTATAATCGTTCCTGCTGTGAAAAGAGACATTCCTACAAAACTCTGTCCTGTTTCTGTGTTTGCAATTTAAGTGTGTTTCTTTCAAAATGACTGTCTTTCTAGTGCAATGTTCTTCTTTATGTTACTATACAGTCACCATGGCTTAGCAGGTAAACAAAGAGATTATTTCACACTAAATACATACATAGTGTGCATTGGAATCACATTAGGAGGGGCTCTTTTCACAGCCAGTATGGACGGCACGCTAAAATGCATAAACATAATATAAAGAATATTGTATGCTCTGTTATCTGTGGTGATTCCTGCAGAAGCCACATGGAGAAGAAACAAAATAAATGTTCCTTCAACATTATTTCTTTTCAGGATGAAACTTAAAGAGATCAACCGTACAGCCATCCAGAGCTGGAGCCCTGCACAGCACCACCCCATCTACCTTGCAACAGGTAAGAGCATGCAGTGAGGACCTGCACAGGCCTGCTGCTGCTACCTGGTGTTCTCACTGCACATTATACAACTCTCGTCTTTCAGCCATTCATACAGCCTCATCAGAGTCACAGAGTAGGAAACATTATTGGTTTGTGAATGTATTTAGTTTATTTGACATAATGAGAAGGAGGGCACTGAATCACACACAACTAAAACAATAAAACAACTTGTGTTCTTTGATATAAAGAGGATATCACTGACTAAATGAAATGATTTCTTTAAAATAATGTCTTTGTTGCTCCTTAGTTGGCCCTTTGTAGCATTCTTAAGTGTAATATTTAGAAGTTGGATAAGTAATGACGAGGCAGCATCACGCATGATGTGACACAACGTGCACTAAAGGTTCCTGTGTTCTCTTTCTGCAGGAACATCAGCCCAGCAGCTGGATGCCTCCTTCAGCACCAATGCCTCCTTGGAGTTCTTCGAGCTGGACCTGACTGAGCCATCTCTGGACATGAAGTCATGTGGCAGCCTCTCCTCCTCTCACAGGTACTAACAGCTGCTGATGTGTTTCACTGTTCTTCTCTTTCTGTGCAGCTGTTCATCACTAACACTGTGTCCTTCCCCCACAGATATCACAAACTGGTGTGGGGCCCCTATGGAATGGATGGGGAGGGCCACCCATCCGGGGTCCTGATTGCGGGAGGCGAGAACGGCAACGTCATCCTGTACGACCCGGCAAAGATCATGGCCGGAGAGACCGACGTGATCATCGCTGAGAGCGACAAGCACACGGGGCCAGTGAGAGCTCTCGACGTCAACCCGTTCCAGGTCAGATCCATTTTCCTCCAGTGTCACCGAGTTTAAATATCGTTCAGTTGAAGAAAATGCTAATTGAGTATTTTGTCCTCTCTGCTGCAGACAAACCTGTTTGCATCCGGTGGGAATGAGTCTGAAATCTATATCTGGGACATGAATAACTTCGGCTCTCCAATGACACCAGGACCTAAAACTCAGGTAGGTTCTCTTTTACTCTGTTAACTAAATATTGCATATATTTTCTACTATAACTAAAATAATCTAATGCATGCATATAACGTTTGTAACAGTTTTAATGAATGTATAATGATAGAAAGAGCTGATGTGTTTGTCTTTCAGCCTCTGGAGGACATCGGCTGTGTGTCGTGGAACCGACAGGTGCAGCACATCCTGGCCTCAGCCAGCCCGAGTGGCCGAGCCTCAGTGTGGGACCTCCGCAAGAACGACCTCATCATTAAAGTTAGCGACCACAGCAACAGAGTACGTTGTTCCCTCTGCACTCAGACAAAGTCTTTTTAGTCCATTAGTGACTCACAATCCTTTGTTTCTGTCCACTCGGCTTAAACAGTCCTCTCTGTGGGTTTCTTTAGATGCATTGCTCCGGTCTGGCTTGGAACCCAGAAGTCGCCACTCAGCTGGTCTTGTCGTCGGAGGACGACCGGATGCCGGTCATCCAGATGTGGGACTTACGTTTCGCTACCTCTCCGTTCAAGATTTTAGAGAACCACACACGGTACACACACCTGATCCATAAAGCTTTTCCTTTGCAGCTTTTAATAACCGTGTGTCTATTTAAGACTTAACTGTACTGTTGTTCATGAACAGAGGTGTCCTTTCCATCGACTGGAGCTTGGCTGATCCCGAGCTGCTCCTGAGCTGCGGGAAGGACAACAGGATTCTGTGCTGGAATCCAAACACAGCAGAGGTAAACGTTTCCTGTAAATGTTTTATTTACACAACCAGAGAAGAAGAAAAAAACTGCCACAGTTGTCCCTCAGATATAAGTCTGCATCCACACGATGTTTTCCTTTTTAAATGCAGAACGTTGGCTTTGTTGATGCCAAAAAACCTCCTTACATACATTTACACACAACTTAACACTTTAATAACAGACATATTTTAACATACTCTTATACTGTTTGTTTGTTTATCATATGGTAATCCTCAGGTGGTGTACGAGTTGCCCACCAGCAGTCAGTGGTGCTTTGACATCCAGTGGTGTCCCAGGAACCCCGCGGTGCTGTCGGCCGCCAGCTTTGACGGACACATCGACATCTATTCCATCATGGGAGGCACCGACCAGGCGCAGAGCCAGAGAGACGCCGACCAGGTGAGATGCTGTGAACGGTAGCACGGATGAGAGGTAATCAAGGTTATTATGAGGTACTTTGAGGAGATGATCCTATTCAGTTTCATTTGTATAGCCAAGTATACATCATCAAACAAACTTTATTTGGGAAAAAAACAACAAGAAACCTCAGAGAGCAGCAGAGGAGGGATCTCTCTCCCAGGATGGACAGAAGTGAGATAGATGTCATGTGTACAGAACACAATAGTTACAACATAATCAATCAATATGACATGAATGATTGATGATATTGAAGCTGCCAAACCTTTGTCCATATTTCCTTGTTTTTTTCCCATCATGAACTTCTAACTTGACTCTGGGGGTCTGTTACAGATTAGCAACTCGTTTGGGAACATGGATCCGTTTGGCACTGGGCAAACTCTGCCCCCGCTGCAGCTTCCCCAGACGGCTGCCCCGCCAGTGACGGTCAACTCGCTGAAGAAGCCGCCCAAGTGGATCCGCAGACCCGTCGGAGCCTCGTTCGCCGTGAGTCCCGCGTCTTTTCTTTTTTTTGTGACATCGAGAGGTTTGAGCGTCGCTGTTGCCTGAAACATTCTTCTGGCTCTCGTTTAGTTTGGTGGGAAGCTGGTGTCTTTGGAGAACCCAAAGCTGAACCCGCAGCAGCCTCAGCAGACCCCGTCGCACGTCGTACACGTCAGCCAGGTCGTCACTGAAACTTCCTTTTTGAAGCGCTCCGATCGGCTGCAGGCCACTCTGAGTGCCGGCTGCTTCGTGGGTTTCTGCCAGGAGAAGATCGACGCAGCCGAAAACGAGTTTGAAAAGACTCTCTGGTCTTTCCTCAAGGTACTAAATTCTGAAAAAATCTATTCTCTTTTCAGTAAATAATGCCGTCATTCTTTAGGTTGAGTTTAAGTGACTATTGTGTGTTTTCAGGCTAATTTTGAAAGTGATTACCGCAGCAAATACCTGGAACTTCTGGGGTACAACAAAGAGGAGCTGGCCTTAAAGGTGAGCAGTATTTACTACACCACCGTATGACACTGTATAGATTTATTTATGTATATTTTCTGTTTAATATTTGTGCATCTTGTGAAACGTGTACATTTTTGTTGTCAGATTTCAGCAGCACTGGAGGAAAAGCCTGCTGACCCTCCGCAGGTGAGTTTGTTTGGAGCATTTAATCTCGCGGTGCATTTTAAAGGAATAGTTCGACATTTCTGGGAAATACACTTGAGAAGATGAACACCCCTCTCATATCTGTCCGTCAATTATGAATCTCGAGTCAGGCGATGTTAGATTAGCTTAGTGCAGAGACTACAAACAGCTTGCCAAAGGCCATATACAGTTGTGTGAAAAAGTGTTTGCCCCCTTCCTGATTTCTTATTTTTTCTTTATTTTATGTTTGTCACGCTTAAATGTTTCAGATCATCAAACAAATTTAAATATTAGACAAAGATAACACAAGTAAACACAAAATGCAGTTTTTAAATGAAGGTTTTTATTATTAAGGGGGGGAAAAAAATCCAAACCTACATGGCCCTGTGTGAAAAAGTGATTTTTTTAATGATTAATTTTTTAGTGATTAATTAATTCTGCAGATCTTAAAACTATTCCTTCAACTTTTTACCAAATGATCTGCATGTGGTTCAAAAGATCACTTCCTAATTGGACAGAATATTGTTTTATGTGGCTTTCTAAACTGCTGCTCATTCCGGTGCCCACATGTGTGATGATAAGCTGTTTATTACAACATATGGTGATCATGCAATGTGCTGCAGCTCTAGTATTATTGTGTTCTTTGTCCTCGCCATTGAAAATTCAACTTGAAAAGAAGTAAAGAATCAGTTATTAACTATAAAAAGTGCATAACAGGAACTTTTTGATATAATATTCTAATATTATATCATATTATAATAAAAATATTCTCAAAGATGAAGCTGAAAATACTACTTCCTCTTTCTGAAGCTACTCACAGGAAGCTTTGCACATACTTAGTTAACAGCTAGTCGACTGATAGTTGCAGCTCGACTTCACATAGTTATTTAACAGCTGACTTGACCAGAGTGTGTTTTCTGACACGTTTTCTCCATTTTGCCGTTATGTGTGGCGTCATTTCCCACGTATTCCTCAAAGTGTTTGTTTTCTCCCTGCGCACTTCTCCCCAAATAACTAATGATATTTCTATGTTCATGTCACCCTCCCTTTTCTCCTTTACGTTGCCATTTAAAGCTCTACCACAGCCCCTGACTTTGACTCCATATCTTCCCTCGATATTCAGGTGGAGGTGCCGGCTCCAATCAGCCTGCAGCCTTTACCACAACTCGGCATCGTGCCGCCTGTTGACAATCCTGAAGCGGCCTTCGATATGATCGCTGCAGCGGCCGTGCAGCCTGCTGACCCCCCTGAGGCGGCGTTTGACAGGATCGCAGCAGCCGCCGTTCCGCTTGCTGACACTCCCGAAGCGGCGTTCGATATGATCGCTGCAGCAGCCGTGCTGCCTACTGACACTCCTGAAGCAGCCTTCGATATGATCGCAGCTGCCATGCCGCTTGCTGATACTCCCGAAGCGGCGTTCGATATGATAGCTGCAGCAGCCGTGCCGCTTGCTGATACTCCCGAAGCGGCGTTCGATATGATCGCTGCAGCAGCTGTGCCGCTTGCTGACCCTCCAGAGGCGGCATTCGACATTATTGCTGCAGCAAACCTTCAGCCAGCAGCCACGATGGACCTGGACTCTGCTCCTGCTCCTGAGACTGAAGAGCCAGCAGCAGCAGATCCAGAAGACGCTCCCCCCGGTGAACCAGAAGAAAATGTGGACCAGGTTCTACCAGAGGAAGAGGAGATCCCCTTGGAGGAGGAGGAGGTACACCTTCATCACTGAACAGCCCAGCTGATGGTTGAACTCATGTTTCATCTGATATAAGGCGCTACTAACACACACACACACACACACACACACACACACACACACACACACACACACACACACACACACACACACACACGGGGGATTTATAATTATTTAAGGTTGATTGGACCTTTTTCTCAGGACTGTGTGGGCTCGTACAGACCGGGTCCAGGAGCAGTCAAGCAGCTACTTGCTTGATGTATTACTGGTAACACAGTGCCCAGAAAGAGGTTGAACATCCTGCAAACAATTTGATTTGGCTTGAAAACGTTGTTTCTCTGGTGTTTCAGGAGGAGACGGCAGCACCAGTGGAGGAGGAGCCCAGTCCTCCGGAGACCTCGGCTCCACCAGTCGAGGAGCTCACGGTGGATCCAGCTCCGGCTCCTGCTCCAACTCCGGCACAAACAGATGGAGTCAGTCTCAGCATCAGTCAAGGTAACAAGGTTACATGAAGTTAACCTTCATCCAGAGAGTGCTAACGTAAATAGAGGTTGTATTGACTTACATAATGATGCGTTCAAGCTCTATTCAGTAAAACAGTGTATTGGGTGAAGGTGAATGCACTGGTATCGGTCTTTACGTAAGTTCAAGTATTGGAATCGGGAAGGACAGAATGGTATCGAAAGCATCTCTACCTGAGAGAAAACAAAGCAGAATAAAACTAATCTGTGGTTTTGACTCCGTGTTTTCCTGCCAGATGTGGACGGGCTCATCACACAGGCCCTGCTGACCGGAGACTTCGAGGGAGCTGTGGAGCTCTGTCTTCATGACAACCGCATGGCAGACAGCATCATCCTGGCCATCGCTGGAGGGGCCGAGCTCCTGGAGAAAACCCAGAAGAAGTATTTTACAAAGACACACAGCAAGATAACCAAGGTGAGGTTTTCTGTTGTTTGGTGTTTTATGAAGTGAGAGGTTTGTTTCAGTGATGATGTAATGTAATGTTTTGTCCTGCAGCTGATCAGTGCAGTGGTGATGAAAGACTGGCATGACATCCTGAAGACGTGTGACCTGCAGAACTGGAAGGAGGCTCTGGCTGCTGTCATGACCTACGCTCAGCCCGAGGAGTTCTCTTCCCTCTGTGGTTAGTTCAAGGACTCGTGTCAACAGGGGTTCGTTTTCATAAACTTTGTTGTGAATTTGTGCCCTCGAACTGAAATCCTCCTGCTTGTTAGACCTTCTCGGGGGCAGACTGGAGGCAGCAGAGGACGCCCAACTGCAAGCCCAGGCCTGTCTGTGTTACATCTGTGCTGGAAACGTGGAGAAACTGGTGTCTTGCTGGACCAGAGCACAGGACGGACACTGTCCACTCTCCCTCCAGGTGTGTCTCCATTTTAAAGCTGCAAAAACTTTGGACACTTTGGGGCAGCATCTCTGTCCAATTTTCTCTATTTTAGCTCCGTGTTTGGTCTCCACCAGCCGTGAGGAAAACATTTGACTCATTAGCTGCTACGTGCTCCACTGTGTTCACCAGCTAGTCTCTAACTGTCTGTCTGCTGTTTAGCGGCTTGGATCTTTACGTTGTTTTGTGCTCATGTGATCTGTGTTTCCATCCCTCAGGACCTGGTGGAGAAGGTGGTGGTACTGCGGCGTGCGGTGGAGCAGACCCAGCGCTCCGGTCCCACCGCTATCGGCATCCTGCTGGCTGAGAAGATGAGCCAGTACGCCAACCTGCTGGCCTCTCAGGGCAGTCTGTCCACCGCCATCACCTACCTGCCTGACGACACCAACCAGGTATGAAACACACCTGGACTGTGCTGCGTTGAGTTCTTTCTAAGAACTTAGAAATAACTTGTGAATTAAGACTTAAGTGGCTGAGATGTTTTACTTGCCCGATGGAAAATATAGGCCTATTAGTAACTAAATAAAATCAGCATGTATTTGTTCAATTGGACAAAATAAATATCATTTTCATTTTTACTGTTTTGGGCTTAAACGCACCATTGTGTAACTGAGCGGGAACCTCCGCACATTAGCTGTTAGCTTTGTTATTAGCAACACTGTGCTACACAGAGAACACAAATGTTGCTATGCTGTTAGCTTCGTTATTAAGTGAACTAACTAGTTAGCTAATTGTTTAGCTTAATAGGTATGAAATTTGTTAGCTAAATAACTAGCTAGCTTACCAACTAAAAAGCTAGTCAATGTTAACTAGCTAGCTAACAACTAGCGTTAACTAGCTCTCCTTTGCCGAGTTCCTCTCAGACAACAGATTTGTTGTTCACAATGTAGCATTTTCAGGTAATCTGCGACTAGAAAACATTAATGGCGTTCCTTTAATCACATATTTTACTGATTATTATAGAGATAACATTTATTTTTCACTTGCCCGAACACAGAGTTGACTTTCCGGGTAAGCGTTGATGTCCTCATAAAGTTTAGTGAAGCCTTCAGTACAGTTGACTGACCCTCTCACTTTTCTCATTTTGACCGTACAGGTTTCCGTACAGCAGCTTCGTGACCGTCTCAGTCGAGCTCTGGGGCAGCGAGCGGCGACGGCTCCGGCTCCTGCAGCTCCGGTACAAACCCAGAGAGCTCAGGCTCAGCCGCCTGCCCCGACTCAGACTCAGCCCCGGCATTCGTTCACCCCGATCCAGCCCGCCATGGTGCCTCAGCCCACTGCGGCAGCAGCACCAGCAGCAGCTCCAGTGCCCAGGCCTACACCTGCTGCCTCCGCCTCAGCACAGCCGCAGTATTACCAGCCAGTATGTTCCTCTGAGTTTTACACCAGTTTCACGCTTTTATCTTTGGGAACCAGGACTCCCACTGGTTCCCTGTTCTTCCTCTATAAACATCTACAGATCTCTTATCAAACCTTTTCTTGTCTTCTCACCAAAGAGTAATGGAAAACATGGAGGAAGCAACTTCTCCTGTTCGCTGGTTAGAATAACAAACATCAACGACAGTGGAGCCGTTTGATTCTTGCAAATGTTGAAAAGTAAACCTGATAAGATTCGATAAGAGATTCTAAATTGTTCGCATTTGTTCTGTTCTTGATTTGAAAGTGATGAAATGCCATCGAACCTCTTTCCCTCTCTCATACTACCGGACCACCTGGTGAAGTGCTCGTTGCTGTCGTGTTCATTTCATTGATTGGATTTCTCTTCCAGCCAGAGTTTAAATCACATCCTGATTCCTAAATTAATCATTCATGAATAATAAGCTTATTGTGTGAGGGGGCTGCATGCCTCAAAAAAAAAAAAAAAATCATTATTTTTTTTGTAATTTGAACCCTGGCTCTGGTCCAATGTGTGTGTGCTGTGGTGTTGTTGTTGGTGCCCCTCCCCCTCCATGCTGCGGCCATCATCGGTATGTGCCGTGTGTGTGTGTCTCTGTGCGCTTCAGGTGAGGGCTGCGTCCACTGTCACCTCCTGGAGTAACCAGACTCCCACAGCCCTCCCCAATGTCCCTCCTCCTCTTCAAGTAGGCAGAGCCTCAGAGCAGCAGGTACACTGACCGCCCACCCAAACCCCCCCCAGCACACACACACACACGCGCACACACACACACAGCTTTGATGATGCTTAATGATGAGTGTCTTCATTGATCGGATCAGTTTGTTTGGTAATACTCTGCCACTTTCTGTTGATTCTCTGAAGCTGTGTTATCCTGGTACATTTGACACACTCTGTATTGGGACATACTGAATCTCTTCCTGACATACTAGACAGTCTGTTCGTATGCGTATTGGAACGCACAGTTTTCTCTGTCTCCTGTGATGCATGCACCGGTTGCTCTTCTCATTTCTCCGTTTGTTCGTCCTCGATTCCTTTTGCTAGCTCAGCAGAGACGCTTTATCTGTGGATGGTTCTCTATCTTTTGTTGTGAAACATGTTCCAGATTTCTTTGTGTGTGTTTCAGCAGGCGGAGCCTTCAAACCCCATGTACGGGATGCCTCCCTCCTGCACAGCGGCCGCACCTCCAGCCTCCTCCAATCCTGCATACATGTACTCCCAACAGTACCAGCGTAAGTGGAGTTCGGTCTGTATTATTATGAGTTATTGACTTCAGGGAGAAATCCTCCGTATGGAGAGAAGAATCCAGCAACCATGTCTCCTAAAAATATGTTAAATACATCAGATTTTTTGAGGAAATTTTGTGTGTGTGTGTGTGTGTGTGTGTGTGTGTGTGTGTGTGTGTGCGTGTGCGTGTGCGTGCGTGCGTGCGTGAGTGATGAAAATAAGAAACTCCTGTATTGGTCAAAGTGAACTGGTGGAATCTATATAAAGGTTATTTTTAGGAGACAGAGTTGCATCAAGAGGTAACAAACAACACACAACCTTTTATTTCTGTCTTCTTTGAAACACTGACAAACATTTCTACCTGTAAATGTTTGTGCTCCGTTAGTCACTAACACGAGATGAGAATGAATAACTTGAGTTTACATCTTTGCCTGTTGAGTCTTTTTATCTCAACATGAAGCTCTCCAGCATGATCTTTACTGTTCTGTGCTGTTGCATGATGCAGTTAGTGTAACGTGCAGCGAGTTTGTCACTAATGGCATGTGTTGTATCCTGTGTGACTCCCAGCATACCACCAGGTCAACCAGTACCCACCTGGAGCTGGGGGGGCTCCTTTCTATCAGCCTCTTCAGTACTCCTCCTCCTCCTCTGCTCCTCCTCCTGCAGAGCCCCCCGGCTTTCTCTCTCAGTACACACAGCCAACATCTCCGGTCTATCCCGGACATCCTCCCATCAGCCAGTGCCCGTCCTCCTCCCATCCTCCTTTCTTTCCCTCCTCCTCTTCCTCCTTTTCCGCTCCTCTGTCCTCCGGAGCGTCTTTCCAGCATGGCGGGCCGGGATCTCCTGTGTCGTACATGCCGCCTCCTCCACCGGTCGGATTCTCAGGTACACAGCTGATCTGGTGTAGAGAGTTCTGCATGAGTTCTCACGAACTCTGAGGACAACCGTGGTTTCCTGTTTCTAACTTCCTCAAGATCTTAGTTTCAGTTCAGGTTCTCTGTTACAAGCTGCCAGACGCAGACAATTCTATCTTAACTTCTGACCAAGACAGAATGAAGTTCACGTTCTTTATTATCATGAAGAACGAAATTCTTAGATCTCAGACTCTCTCCAACTATTCTCATTAAATATGTTTTGTTTTTTAAAGTCAGTTAGTTGGGATTATGATCTAAGACATAAAATATATAAAAGATATAACACTATATATATATATATATACTGTGTGTATATGTAATGGATAAAGTACATTCAATCTTACCAACAATAGTATGAAGCCTGCAGTATGTCTCTAGAATGATTATAGTTGTTCAATCACAATTAATTAATGAATTGATGAATTCACAACAAGCTATTATATAAATATTTAATTAGCATTAAAAAAACTTGTAATGGAAAAAAAAAAATCTAACATCTGGTATTTAATGATATTATTTTTCTGTATTTCATTTATGAAATAAATGTTTCTTGAAATGGAATTGCAAAATGTATTTGTACTTTTTGGCTTTCCATTATCCTCCATTAACTCTTAAAATGAAGCTTGGCCAGTTAGCTTAGCTTAGCACAAAGACTAGATGCAGGTGTTAACGGTAAGATCCCCTTACCTTATCGCCTACTTCCAGTCTTTATGCTAAGCTAAGCTAACGGCTGTAGCTTTATATTTAGCGCACAGACATGAGAGTGGTTTTGATCTTTTGTGTGATGTGTATTTCCCAAAATCAAAAAGTTTGTTAAAAGAAATGTTTGATCAGATTTCACATCATAAAATAGACTTTAACCCGGTGGTGTGAGAATGAGAATGAATTTCATTTTGTTTTTCTGTAGGACCTCAGAACGGCTGGAATGACCCTCCGGCCCTGAACAGAGCATCAAAGAAGAAGGTGAGTGTTCTGAAGCGCTGCAGTCTGTCAGTGTGGACACTAGTACACATTATATATAAATATATACTGTGTGTGTGTGTGTATATGTATATGTATAAATAAAATATGACGTCTTTCAGCCGGCTCCAATGAACTACACCCCTCCTGCCCCCATCACTGCTCCCATCATGGCTCCGCCGGGCGCTGACCCTCAGGCCCAGCAGGTCCCCTCTGGGGCCCCACAGGCTATGGGCCAGGGGCCACACGGTGCCCAGGTCCCCTACTCAGGCATGCACCAGCAGCAGCAGCAGCAGCAACAGCACCAGCACCAGCAGCAACAGCACCAGCAGCAGCAGCTCTCCCCTCTGCCCATGAACCCTGCAATGCCCAAGACCAGTATGGAGGGGGCACCGGGAGCTCCCACTGGAGATGTTATACAGGTACACAGTTCTTCTCCGTCTCAGGACATAAAGAGTACGGCTCAAAATGTCTCAAATAACAGCGTCCCTCCTGCACATGTAGGCAGCAGTAGGATTATCAAATTCAGAATTTAATGCCAGCAAAGACAACAAGGTCAGCAACACTACATCACCGTGTAGCCCCGCCCTAAAGCATCCCCTGCTTTATGGTCTGT